AAAAAAAAAAAAAATAGAAAGTACATGTATGTTGCCATGTGACCCTGCACTAAAAGAAATGCTAAAGGACGTTCTGGACTGAAAGAGAAATGACAGCAGGTGGAATCTTGAGTCGACAGAAACCCAAGTACTGAAAATGGTAAATGTATGTGGATGTCTAAAAGACTATATTTCTTTCTCCTTTATTTTTTTTAAAGACAAATGACCATTAAGTGCAAAAATAACATTATATTATAGTGTTTATAATATTTCTAGATGTAAAATATATGATAATTAAAACATGAAGGACAGAGGCTAATAAATGGATTATTGCAAGGTTCTCTTATGTACAATGGTATATTAACTTTACACAGACTGCGATAAATTAAGAATGACTATTGTAATACACAGAATGACCACTAAAAATTTTTTTAAAAGAGGTATTTCTAAAACCAAAAGAAGGCAAGAGAAGAGAAATAGAATAATAAAAAAAAAGAAATGGGAAAAATGGAGAACAAAGATTAATGCAATCACTCAAATAACTGAATTTCATATAAATGGAGAAAGGTTGCAATTAAACACCATTTAGTGTCAGATCGATTGAGAAAGCAAAAGCCAACCATTCACTATCCACAAGAAATGCATTCCAACTATAAAGACATAGATTTATTAAAAATAAAGGATATCTCACAATGATGAAATAATCAATCTGGAAGAAAGATGTAATAATCCCAAAGGTGGATGCGTCTCAAAACAGCTCTCAACATACACGAAACAATGATGGACAGAACTAAAGGAAGAGACACAGAAATCCACATAGTCGGAGGTTTCAACACCACCTCCTGGTAATTGATAGAGCAATTAAAAAAGAAAAAAATCAGTAAGAAAATGAAAAGGTAAGTTATAGAATGAGAGAAAACATTTGCACTGCATGTCTAGAATATATGAAGAACTCTCACAAGCACAAGACTAATGATCCAGTGAAGAGGAGGCAAATCACTTGAACAGATATTTCAGAAAAGAAGTTATCCCAGGACCAAAAAAGTACATGAAAATGGCAGCTACATAGTTGTATACATGTTTCAAAGCTCATCAAAACATGCACTTTACAATCCATGTATCTTATTCTATGTAAGTTTTACCTTAATAGGAGAGATAAGGAGAGACAGACTTAGGTTTGAATCCCAGCTCAGCCACCTGATTTCAGTGGCCCTGGGCAAGTTACTAAACCTCTTGGAGCCCCAGTTTCTTTATCTGTAAGATGGGGACAAGGAGGAGTTCTTCATTGGGTTGTTGTGAGGATTAAACGCGCAGCACAACAACAGAATAAGCAGAACGCCTAGTCCTCCCGAGGTGCGCTGGAAAGCCTGACGGCCTCTCCTGGTTCTCTGCCTGTCTCCCTCAGCTCCCTCCCAGCTCTTCAAAATTCTAGGAATTTTGAAATACTAAAAGATACTGATTAACCTAAACAGTGAAATGAACCAACGAGACCAGACAATCCAATGAAAAGAACCGGTGAACTCTGAACAATAAGGCTGGAATGGCTTGGGGCCACTTGTCTGTGGATTTCCTTTCTCCCCTCCGCAGCAAGGCCAACCCTCCCCCCAGAGACGGGGGTGAAGGCCTCTGTGCTGACACTTCCACTTAATGAATATGTGCAGTAAATATATTTTTCTCCCTTATGATTTTTATAACATTTTCTTTTTTCTAGTTTACTTTATTATAAGAATATGACATATAATACATATGACATATGAAATGTGTTAATTGACATATGTTATTGGTAAGGCTTCTGGCCAACAGTAGGCTATTAGTAGTTAAGTTTGGTGGGGAGTTGAAAATTATACTCAAATTTTGACTGCTTGGTAGGGGGTGTCAGTGCCCCAACCCCTACGTTGTTCAAGGATAAGGTGACCAGACATCCTGCTTTTTAACAATTTGTCCCGCGCCCTGTGGCATTTTAAAAAAGTCCTGATTTTTGGAAAGAATGCATGACAAGCTAGGGAACGGTGGAAGAACGGGAAGGGAATATATGGTTTTCAGCTGCCATGTGGCTATTTCACCAGGATATGAGTTTTATATTATTTTTGTTAATTTTATAATGTTAAACTTTAAAAATAACAAATAATTGTTGAGAACTGATTATGGAGAACTGCTTATCAAAGTTCGCATTGTTGATTAGTTGTTAGAATTCGATGAGAAATATGCCAAAGAATAAAATAATCCTATACATAATTTTTTTAATGTATTATATTTGTAAATTGTACTTATGTTGAAATTAAAAAATATATTACAATACTATTTTTGCATTCTATGAAAATTTTTATTGCTTTATATGGACCAAATTTTTAATTAAGAACCCCCCCCCCCCCGTCAATGGTGTCCCGCTTTACCAATGTTAAAATCTGGTCACCTTATTCAAGGACCAAGTGTAGGTAAATGACTTGAATGGACATCTCAAAAAACTTAAACAACGATCAAAATGCATGAAATGATGGTTACACATTTGTATACACCATGGATCCCTCTGTGTATTCTTTCATCACAAGCAAGGGAGAAAGGAGCCTGGGAGATGGGGGTGTCCTGAGTTGCTGCAAAGGGAGGGACCACAGGGCTAAGGAAAGAAATGCCCTTGCTGTCACCTCCTCACTTCTGGTATAACTGCACAATACTGAAAAGGAACCGTTCCTGTCAGTGGCTCAGTCTTATAAACCATTTCATTTATAACCATCTCCCATGCTTTAGAGCCCCTCAGAGCCAACATGTAGCTTCAAGTATCAGGACAGGGTTTGCACCATGCAGGTTTTGATAGAGCAAAAGCTGGCATCTAGCAAGCAAAGTGAATTGACTATCATAAGCATAACCTTGAGTCTTCAACCAAAGAAGAGTTAAATTCTGTAAAGTCTTAAATATAAAATATTCTGAATCAAAATTCCTTAAAACTCATTCATCTTGGTGATGGTAAAATGGAGACACAGGGAAGTTAAGAGCTTGGCTAAGATCATAGTGCTGGGTAGTGGGTTGGGTTTGGTCTTTGAGGACGTCCTGTCTCTGCCTCTGTGATCTCTGTGTTTTACCTTACTATGGTTGGCATGGCTTCCTGTGGGCTCCTCCATCACACCTGTGTGGGGGGGACACAAGAGCCCAGAGGGGTCACAGCTTGGCCATGCACACCGTGTGAGAAAGAATACCCCCAATTCAAATAACCGTACCTAAGGCCAGTTATTAAAGTGAGGGCACTCAAAACTGAAATTGTGGATTTAATTTTCAATAAGATGCACCATCATTTCGGGAAGGATTCTTGTGGCAGAAGGAGGATGACCTGGATGGTATCCTGGGGAGTGTACCTAAAGAAAGAAGCTGTTTCTACCTGCTACGTGTTCAGCCAGAGGCAGAAATGAAGTAATTCACGGGAGGACACGATGGGCAGCTTCAGAGAGACGCTCTCCTTGGCCTAAGAAAATTATCTGCAGGATTTGAAAGTGTAATTTGCAAGAGAGAGAACTGGAAACCAAGAAATGTAGCAAATACCTTGAAGACCACGTGCACCATCATTTGGAGGCCGCTTTTGCCGGGGTATTTCCCCGCGATGTTATGTGAGGACAGGTCGAAGAGGTTGGCCCCCGTCTCGGTACAGATGGCATGGACCAGCATTTTCTTCCCGACCCCGGACGGCCCAACCAACAGCAGTGATTTCACCAAAGGAGCCTTTTCATGCACCGCTGCGGATCCTGCAAAAGGCAGAGAGAGGGAAAGGCTCCGATATCCTGCCAAGAAAACCCGTGGTTCTTAGACGAGGAGGCCTCGAGGCCGTTCTGCATCCTGTGACCCCGGTTTCTACAACTGTGATGAGTTGAAAGCATTTCAAAACAGAGGCATGCCTCCATGGCAGCTGGCACTGACACCTTTAATTTGTCGTCAGGGCTCTCATGGAGCCGTAGGGTCTCCATACTCCCCCTCCCTCCACACCAATGTTTCCCTAACCTCATACTTTTAAAGAGCGTTCCTGCCATAGCTTGTTTGTTCATTTCCTTCTGTCTTTTTTTGGAGGGATTTTCTCTGCCTGTCAGCAGCAGCATTAAATTCTTTGTAAGCTGGGGAAGGAGAATGTGGAGATGGTCACATTGCCTGAGAAGTGTTTATTTCCCAGAAACCGTCTTTTTAGCATTTAGCCATCCTCTGAGATGAAGGGGGAGAGCAGGGGCCAGGAGGCAGAGCCTGAGCCATCTCCTGTCCTGCTTTCTAGGCTGCCAGGGGCAGCAGAGTTAATCTGACACTTGATAATGAAGTGACTTGAATTATTACAGTCATTCCGAGGTTCATGCCTGCGTTCCTGACCACATTGTCCATTTCCTGGGCACCCCGGTGGGCCTCTGGTGTGGGTATTCTCCATGGCAGGAACACAAGCAGAGCACGTATCAGGCACTGATTATACAGCCAGGGGAATTAAACCCTGGAAAGGGCTGCGACTGAAACATCTACTGTCCTGTTAGTTTGCCACTGATCGCCTACTGAACTGTTTTCGATTTGCTATAAGTAGGTCAATATAATGATTATTGTGCTTTGCTTCTGTAATTGAAAATATTTTGGAAACTTAAGTCGTTGTTAGAAATTTTACAGTTTTCTACCATTCTTCACATAAACTTGGAAAGCAGTTTGAGCAAGTTCTCTTTACAATATAATTAAATGAGTGTGTGTTTTGTGGATAGTGAGGGGTACGGTCACGTAGTGTGACAAAGTGGTGCAAGCCTGTGACTGGAGACCAGGCTGCTGGGGGTGCGGTGAGGTGGCAGGAGACAGCGAGGGATGGGGAGGAAGGCCATTGCAGTCAGTGGGGTCCCTGCGAGGTGGCCGGGGATTGCAGGCTGAGCCTGGGGGCTGGGAGAAGCTCCCCGGAGAGGGGAGGACATGCTGAGGACAGAATCCCAGGGAGAGGCAGGGGAGGGAAGAGGAGCAAGGCAGGCGCACAGGAGATCAAGAGAAAGAGGCAGGTGCACAGGGCGGTGGGCTCCCAGAGGATGGAGTGGTCGCCAAGGTCGCTCACAGGTGCAGGGATCTGGGGGGGGAGTAGGCAGTGTGTGTGACACTCCAGGGATGCAGTGTCCACTCAGTAAGTGTCCCCTTGCTTCCTTTTCTCCCTGGTATTCCAGGAGGTGGGCGGGTACTGACAGGACCCTTCCTTGGTTTTCTCCGTCTGCCAAGGGGGCTTGGGTGTCTCCGCCCAGTCCTGGGAGGCATGATGCACTGGTGTCTCCTGGCCAGGTGTGGAAAGTGACCCTGAGAAGATGTTCCCAAGGTCCTCTGCTGAGTGGCAAGGCTTGCTGGTGTGGACAGTGGCCACCACTTTGGTGACCTGAACAATCTGGGCCAAAGACATTCCTCTTGGCAATAGGATGCTATTTTAACGCATGAAATGTCAACCGAGCACCCACACGCTTCTCTGTGCATCTGATTCTTCTGCACAACTTGCTTATCATGCGACTCAAAATCTCTGTCACAAGAACAAACGCCCTCGTTAGCTCTGCCCTCCAGGGGACTTCTCAGTGACTAAGGGGACGTCCAGGTGGCACAGTGCTTCTGGGGCTCTTCTGTGACGTTTTCAAAGCCAGCTTGAGCAGTTCATACACCGTCTTATACCCACAAGCCCAGGTAACCTCACGCCCTCCTTTGTTGGGAAGTCCAGAACCGTGTTGATTTCTGACTGTCCTGCTGCTCTGCCTCCGTGATACTGAGACGAGGCTGGAGGCTAAAGGTGTTTATTTCATTTATATCGACTTCACAGATATTACATATTTTGTTGACCTCACATTATGTTGCCTCCAAAATATGATGTATTTATTTGTACTCTATAATATAAATTAAATATTATATAACACACACATACTATTACACGTGTAATACATGTAAAATCTATGTTGACCTCAAATTCCATTTGCTACTTCTGATATTAAATTAGAAGAACTATTTCTTGCCAAAAGGCTTAAGTTCTTAAGTCAAAGTGAAACAATGTTGTAAGTGCTCAAAGTGCTCTTATTTATGTATTTATTTTTTGAGGCAGGGTCTCACTCTGTCACCCAGGCTCAAGTGCAATGGCACCATCCTAGCAACCTTTAACTTCCAGGCTCAAGCCATCCTCCTAGCTCAGCCTCTTGAGTAGCTAGAACTACAGGTACACACCACTGGCTAGTTAAAAAAAAGTCATTGATAGAGGCAAGATGGTCTCAAACTCCTGGCCTTATGCAATCCTCCCATCTAGCCAACCCAAAGTGCAAATTAAACAAACAAAACGCAATTTCTACTTCCGAATTGAGAGAGCACAGGCCAGCTGCAGTGGCAGTCCTTGCCCCGGGGGAGTGAGGCTAATTCACAGATAAATACATAAAAAATCCCCAAGTGGAGGTGAGCAGCCCGCCTTTCCTGTGCCACTGAGCACACTGCAGAGCTCGGTGAGTCTGTCTGCAAAACCACAGTGGAACCCTAGTTAGCCCTGAGAGTGGACTTCCGTGAACACTGGCAGTCTTAGAGGTGAACCTTCAGGTCCCTGAAGTTAACATAATTCTTAGTTTCACTGACTTCTGGAAGGTCACCTCTGTTCGGGACCAAGTAACAGATGGCTGTGTGTAAAAGGCCCGTGGCAACCCGAGCCCTTCCTCTAATCTGGTGGTTTGGCCTGGTGTGCCTTGGGAGGATCTTAGGTGTGTGGTGAAAAATTTTAAAGATCATTAGTTAAATAATTCTTGAAAGAAGTTCAAATCACAGTAAGCATATTTTTTTTACTCTTTTTTTTGGTCAACATAATGGCTCAAGTGTGCTGTACAATAAAAAAGGTTGAAGCCCACTGTTGTAATCTGATTAATTTTAATTGCAGGTACCTGCTGCTCCTAGCTCATCACCTATCGGTCCCTCAGCCTGGCGCTGTTAAACAGGCACCCAGAGAGGGCACAGAAGTGCTCTCCTCGGCGGTGCCTCTGTGTGCTTGGGGCTGACCACTGAAGTGATGCTGGTCACTCAGAATTCTTGATAGGACAAGTTAAACTGTCATGCACCTTTGGTGACAAACAGGAACGTATCACCCACGCCAGCAAGTGGAGCGTGCCCGCCCCACAAAGGGCTCTTGGTGCGTGTGGCGTCCTCACCTAACGGCAAGATTCCGTAGAGCGTGATGAGCTGCCTGACATCCAGCAGGGAGGGCATGGGCTCTGTGGACACCTGGCGGAGAGTCGTGCCCAGGTAGCAGTACTCACCTGCGGGGAGGAGCAACAGAGGATGCCGGCCTGAGCTGCAGAATCACCACAGAACACCAAAGTGACAGTGCAGAGTAAATCGAATCACATTAGGGAGAGTCATAAAATACACATCTTTTCTCAGATAAGAGTTAGAAGAAAAACCATCCAGGAAAGAAAGCTTTGCTCTTCCAGCGGCGGTAAACTGGGAATTATGTTGACTACATTAACCTCCTAAGATTAAAAAAGAAATTTGAATATTGAGGTGTGTGAAGTGGGACCAAGTTCTAAAATGAGGAACGTACAAATAACACTGACATATAGTGGGCTGTGCTTTATTTATATTCCAAGAGATTGTGTAGAACGTTTGCCCAAACTTTAAATTACTTAAGATCGATGTGGAATTTGTATTGGAACAGTGTAAATCTGAATCTAAAATATAGTCATTTGAAAGGAAGGGTCTGAGTCTAATTTAGGACAAATAGAAACATCTCCCTTTGAGGGTAATATTCATTTACATTTTTATCATTTTTAAAGGATTACCAGAGGAATAATATAGAAATAAATCTTTACAGGTTTAATTACAAGATATCAAAGGGCTTAATTGTAAGTAGTCATAAATCTGAAGTGTTATTTTCTAACTAATTTAGATAAGGTCACCAAGAAGATTAGTTTGGCTGTCTCCATTTGTCATGAGGATGGACCTTTCTATGGGCCTGTGATTCTCTCTTGATTTGTATCTGAATCTGGAGTGACAATATTTGATGAAAGAATCACAGGATCTTAATTTTTCCCCTTTTTCTTCCTATAGCAAGTCCTGATCTTGAGGAGCTCCGACTGTTACACACACGTGACAAGACGGCATGCACGTGTGTGCGAGCGTGCCCTGCAGAAAGGATGGACAGCCTGTAAACACTTCCGAGTGCTAAGGAAAGGAGAGTGAAAGGGAGGCAGGGATCGCTGTTCTGGGGTGTCGGAGGGGGCAGCCTTCCAGAGCCTCCATGTGCAGAGAAAAACGTCCTTGGCAAGGACGGTGGGCACTGGCTGGGAGAGGGAGTGGTAATGAAGCTTCGTTATGGCTTCAGATACCACACTTTTTAATGAGCAGGTAATAAATAGAAGAGTGGTTAATTTAGTCTCCCCTAGATAGGAAGGGCCCTGCAGCAGCCGTTAAACTCTGTGTTCCCTGCCAGTAAACACACCAGCAGAGGTGACAGGAAAGTGACCCTGATTTTCCTGCTTATGTGAACCCGTATTAGTATCCAGATGTATCATATTTTCTAGAGTCTAACAGATTGTATCTAAACAAATCATGTTCAGCTCAATCAGTGGGTGTTGCTTCCAACAGAGTGAAGGACAAGACTGGCCCGGGCCATCGGCCAACTTATGAGACTGGGTTGACAGCAGAGAGCTGCCCCACCCGGAACACACACCCCTTCCCATCCAGCTTAGAATGTTCAGGAATCCCTGCTCAGATACCAGACCTTCCACAAGGAAGGGAAGGAGAGCACGGCATTTGAGAAGAAGCTGTTTGAGGTAGAGGGTCAGGAAGCCTAGAGGAAAGGGAAGAGAGCTGACCAGGGGATGTGCAAGGGGCTGAACGGTGTCCCTTCCAGTTCCCACGTGAGTGTGCCCAGACCCAGAATGAGACCACTCAGCAGTGGCTCACTGCAGAGCACTCCGGTAAGATAAGAGCACAAGGGTGGGCCCACCAGTAGGCTGGGGTCCTCATAAGAAGGGAAATTTGGGCATAGAGGAAGAACAGGATGGGTGGTCAAAGGCAGGGTGGGGTCCTTCCGGACATCAAGGCACGCAGACGCCAGCAGACCTCCCGGAGGCCGGGGACAGCCCTTGGAAGGCACAGTTCTGCCTGGAACCCTGTGGCTATCCGTATCTGTTGTTTAAGCTACTCAGTTGGTGGCACTTGCCATGCTGGTCCTGGAACTAATCCAGAAGGAGTGAGATAATTAGAGAGTAAGAACACACGAGCACAATTGAAAAGTAGTGAGAAATAAAAATACATGAGCAAGAAGGATGAAATCGGCCTTTCATATTACTTCCATTCTACCCCACATGGCCTTAAGGAGAGAATGAAGAATGGAGCAATGCAGAAAAAATAGGAGCCTCTTAAATGAGCTAGTCAAAGATGAGGGGTGGGGGGGCCTGGGCCGGGGCATGAACAGACACGCTCTTCCCTCTCAGGGGGGCCGCACCTAGCATACTCTCCTGCCACGGGGGACGACAGCGCACCAGAACGTGGTTAAGATCAGGTGTCCCGACACATTTACAAGGTTCTCTGGAGACGCAGGTGCCCAGCTTCCAGGAAGAGGTACACAGCCCCTCAAGGGACAGATGGCCACAGCTTCCAGGAAGAGATACAGAGGTCCTCTAGGGACAGATGGTCACAGCTTCCAGGAAGAGACACAGAGCCCCTCCAGGGACAGATGGCCACAGCTTCCAGGAAGAGACACAGAGCCCCTCCAGGGACAGATGGCCAC